ATTGTTGCTTAATTATAAAAGATGTAATTTTCTATAGGAATGTTTTATATGGAACTAGAAAACCAATAATAAACAAAAAAACTAAAAGTCATAATCCTGAGATAAAAGTCTTTATTACGTCTTAGGAAAGTTGTTATTGCAAGACAAATAGTTATAAGACTTTGAAAATACCGTTCCTGTATTACACAATATCAAGAGATCCAAATTGCAAATGCCAAATGTCATTTTAAACTTACTTTACCGAAATTGGGTCGAGGGGCTTAGTAATACCATCGGCGTCTGTGTCCCAGGCTAGGTTTTCGGAGCAGATTTCCTTACAAGAACTTCTTTGTCATATATTTATCAGAGATGCATTGGCGATACTTTTTGCATGATTTAATGAGCAGTCCTGGTTTTGGATGCTGTATTTGCCACAAAAAATGACTAGTTCAACGTTCGGAGTAGGTCAAAGTTTTGGAGCAGTAGCAGGTCTCATTTTCTAGTAACTATAATCCCTTAAATTAGCAAACTCGCAGGATTAACACATCTAAGGATGCACACGACCAGACATTATCCGAATAAGTGACCAGGTTAAAGGTTTTGGAGCAGGTTCAATCTAAATCACATATATAAGCCCTATGTTGACAAATCTTGTATGGATGATCCACGTAAGGATACATGCTACTAGACTTGCTTTCAGTGCTCGGTTTGACATTTTATTTTCACGATGATGACCTAGATTAGGTTTTAGAAAATTGTTTATTCTAAAGTAACTATAAGACCTATGTTGACCAAACTAGCATGGATGATACATCTTGGGATGTTCACTACCAGATTTGTTTCAGATGCTAAGTTTGCCCTACATTTTCTGGTTAAATGGCCAGGATATAGTTTTGAATCAAGCTAATCCAGTGTAATTTCAAGCCCTTTCTGCACCAGAATTGCATTGATTTTGCATCTTATGATACACACTATCTTTCTTGTTTTGGGATGTTTGATTTGATCTGAAATTTCTGAAGGAGTGACCAGGTTAAAGAATTTTCAGCAAGTTTATTCAAGAGAAAATTCAAACCCAACCTTAGCCTAACGTTGAAGGATGATGCTTCAGGGATGTACATACATGTAACAGACTTGTTTAGGATGCTGGATTTGACGGATATTTCTGGATGAGTAACAAAGTTAAAGGATTTGATTCAGGTTCATTCATTAATTGAAATTCCATCTCAGTACAAAATTGCAATGATAATGCATCTAGGAATGCTTGCTACCAGACTAACTTTGCATGCTTGATTTGAAGTACGCTCTCCGGATAACCGACCAGATTAAAGCATTTTCAGCAGTTCAATTCCCAAAGTAACTATAGGTCCCACCTTGACCAAACCTGTGTGGATAATGCTTCAAGGGATGCACACTAACAGATTTGTTTTACATGCAAGATCTTACCAGCATTTTTTGGAAGTGGCCAGTTTAAATTTATAAAATAAGTCTATTCCCAAAGAAGCGCGAGACCTACCTAGACCCAAATTGCATAAGTTTTACATCTAGGGGTGTTAGCTACTATATATTTAGTTTTAGGTACTTTGCCTTATTTAAAGATAACATTAGTTATGATAAGCTCTGTAATCTTTGCTGACCTATGTTTATTATATCAATTTATATAAAATCTGAACCCCAGCCAGCAAACTTTCGGACATTTTCTTTTATTCAATTTGATTTTTGAAATGTTCTTATTCCTCAGAAACAAGTTATATGTTGGTTTTCAGATTTCTTTCTGCTTCTTTTATATTTATTATAGAGCCAAATCTTTAATTTTTTTTATTAACATATAATTAATAGCATCATGGCATTCTATACAAAGGAATATTCTTGTCAGAAATACCAGATGGAATTTAAATGACATTTCATGAAATCAAACCATATTGCTGTTGTTTATTTTTTAAATAGACTTAATGCTATCATGAAGCACACAGACTACAACAGGGGGCTTGCCAGAGTTGTTAAAGGAGAAAAAAGAAAGGTAATTCCTTACATTTTTTACTGATTTGATTAGTAAATGGGCAAAACACAACCGGGGATATCGCAAGCAAGAACAAACGGGAAAAAGTCAAACGGGTAAAACGAAAATAGGTGATTTAAGACGGACACTAAAGATCATTTTCGGAGAAGAAAGTCATTGGTTAAGGACTATACAAATAAAATTGACTTAATACTGACAGAGGGGCAAGTTCTATTCCACAGTTCAGGATCATTTAAAAGAAATTCATTTAAGTTAAAGGTAAAATTTAAAGAATGTGTAATTAACTTTGAGGTTATACTCGTGTACACTATAAATATCATGTCAAACTATCAAGTTGAGGAATGCTATCATCATGAAGAATTTTCTTTATTTTCTTTATCAATAAAAATATAATAATGGAATATTTAACTGAAAGTAATATGATTTATAAGCTCTTCATATCAGCAATTCGTTGTAGGATTATGTGCTGGAAATTTTCAAAAACTCTGAATTGATCGAACAATATTGGATAACTCCAGATAATTACTACCTTACCCTACCATTTGACTATGGGCAGTACGTTATCAGATATCCGAAGTGCCCAGTAAGTACACAATACAAACTTTAACGAAATTGACAACTAAATTCGATTTGAATAATAAGAAATTGTTTGAAAGAATGATACCGGATATCATGTATGTATACCTATATGTGTTGTGTTACAGAGTTTAAATTTTCCTGAACAACTGGAAAAAGGCATGATAGTTTTCATCGCTCTACCAAACACGTAAGATTTGGCACAGATAGATTTATTTCTATGTACATTTTGTAGTAAAACCTACTTGAATAAACATTGCTTTCTATATTTTACGAAAAAGCTTATACTTTAATGAATGAAATACTTCGCATGTAATACTAATAATTCTTATTTTGGAAATTGCATCTCAAAAAATGATATCCTTTGAACAGTACTGTTGCAGAAGCTGTTACTTCTCATATAAAACTGCCAACTCTAAGTTTGAAAAAGATTTTTAACAAAAATGATTTCCTTTTAACAGTACTGTTGCGGAGGCTGTGATTATTGGAGTGGAACCTTCAGGGAAATATCAGTATGAGTATTCACCTGAAGGTGATAGAGATAATAAAGTCATCATTGGAGACTTCAGTACAATGGAAGTGAAGGGCTACAAAGAAGGAGATCCGATTTTAATGTACAGAAGTGATGGTATGTACTCATGACATAGTAAACTTTATAAGTTGACATAATTGATACAAAGTAATAAAATGATAGAAATAATGTTTATGTGTACGTTGCAAATCATACATATGTCATTAACATGCTTCAAAGAAGCGTTTAATTTGTTCAGCTTGATTATTGATTGAAATATACCAATGTATATCTACATTAAACATACGTGTATTTCTATGGTTTTTTTTATAATTATTTTTTTTAGGGGGGGGGGGTCCGAATTTCTATCTTCAAAGACCAAAGATTATTTTTATTATTTTTATTGAAACAGATAAAGAAAAAATATTTAAAGAAAACGTGAATAGAGTTCCAATTTAGAAATATTTCTACATTATGAATTCAAATTGATTTTGGTTTTTGTTCCAAACGATAATTTTTTTTCAAACACAATAGTTGTTGCAGACAAGGCCTTTTACACTTGTTTACGTCTAATTTTTTTTAACTTCTTTTCAGCCTCTCAAAAGTCCCTTTCCCAGACATACATGTATGCACCTCCATATTTAGTGCCTGAGGTAATTAAATGTACTTTGATTTTTCTAAAAAAAAAAATATATATAAATATTTTAATATTAATATAAATCCATTCAAGTCAGTGAATTATATAACAATACGTAGTATATGATAAACAAACGTGATAACAGTTGACAAAAAAAATTAGATGTACAACTTAGCGTGTTATAATAATACAAAGAAAGATTTTTTTCATGGTAGTATTTGGTTAAAAAAAGAAAAAAAATTTCATTAACTTATTCAGGAGAGAAACCTTAAAATTTTCTCTTTTCCATTTACAGAATTTTTTTTTACAAATAGTTAGAAGGATAAATTAAAAGCATTTTTTTCATTTGATGATATTTAAAAAAGATTAATGTTGATTTTCATGGTTACATGTACAATGGGTTAATATGACGGTTTCTTTATATGATCTATTTCATTATTAACTTTATTCCCTTTTCAACATTTGTTTATGCCTATGAATGATTTACTATAAAATGCAACATCTAATCTATTTGGACACAATTTTTTTCCCATTGCAATTTGGATTCGGTAGGAATGTTCAAATGTGCTGAAGTTGACAGACAGTAATTGGATGTCCACGATTTTGAATCAAAAAGCCACATGTTCTGCTGATATCAATCGACTAACTGGTAAAAAAATTTTGATAATCCTTATCAAATATATTTTTTATTGAAATTATATTATTATTCCATATTAAATGCAAATTCATATACATGAAAGGTTTTAGCGATTATTTTTTGGCACATCCATAATTTTAAATTTTCATGGCATATTTCAAAATATTGAAAGTCAAACCAACTTCCTTCTGTTATACACAATGAACAACATTTTGGTATATCTTTGCCAAATCAGTTCCTTTCAAATATTGTATGTAACTTTCATGTATTGATGTACGTTCAATCTATAAATATCAAACTTGATCGCTGAATAAGATACATCAAGGATTTTTTTTTCCCGAAAGAAATTGTCCTAAGTTGTAGAAATAAATCTGTTTATCAAAATTGTAGTTCAGGAGCAGATGATGGTCGTACAAAGTAGAAATTTGATTGGTTGGCTAGATGGTTATGGAGACAATGGATCTGTAGAGGACACTTTTGCATTTCTGCCTAACACTCTGAACACAATTGCATTCCTGTATCCAGGCTTAGGAATGTTTGCTGATCTGAATATCCACAGACTCTGTTTTTATGCAGGTAAGCTAAAGAATGTTGAAAAAAATCAAATTTAGTCTGTAAAATATATACCTGTATACAGGGTCTAATGACATGATTTCCATAAGAGTATGAGACTGCTCAGATTGAGAAAAAGAAATGTCTGGTGTATCTTACTACAAGCAAAATATCCTTTACAGTGTTTAAATTAATGCTTAAAAGGCATTACATTTTCATTTACCAACATGGTTCTTACAGATCAGTTGCTTAACTACCAGCAACAGAAAAAGATTCATCTAAGAAACCCTCTGCACTTCATGGATATGCATGCCTTGACCCCAAAATCTAACCTGTCTGCTGATGTCACATTTGCATGTAAATTTCAAGCATGGGTGTATATAGCTCTTATAGCAAAGCAGGTAAGAAAAGAGAAAAAAAAGCCATTAAAGCAATCTAAAGCAATTATTCAAATCACTTTGTATTGCTTCCTGAAGGTAATACTAGTGTATCAAGAAATATAAGTTTAAAATAGTATATTATACATTCTAAATGAGTAGAAATTCTGTGCAATATCAAGTAAAAATCAACATTTTGCTAACATGTATCTGTTAATTATCTGTTAATTGTTATTAATAGCTTCTTCTACCGTCACATAAATCCATTTTGCCAGAAAAGGACATACAAAGTTTTTCAAGGTCAGAGGTAGGTAAAACTTATTTTATATTGACTGATTTGAATTGCATGTATTATAATGTAAAAAAGTCATTTATTTTCGAATTTCTATTCTATATTTCTTTTTATATCTTAAAAGGATAAACAACTTTTAAAGGGGGGCATCTTCTTTCATAATATTATAAACCATGACCTCGGATATTTACTATCTACACAATTTTTAGGACTATGCCAAAAAATTATACTTTTTTATTTCATCAGATTGAGCATATGTTGTTTGATGTAGTCCACCAGTTCGCTTCCATAAGCAGTTTGTTTGCAGCTCAGTATGGCGGTTTACAGAACCAGAGCAACCCTGTCTCAGGAACAAAATCTATCCTTCAACTTTCTGAAGGTCAGTGTCAACCATTGATAAAATACAAGGGAAATCCAATCACTGACCCAAGCAATCTCATTCAAGATGGCGCTCTGTGTATCTGTAAAGCTCACAAAATTTCCATGGCAACTACGGATTATGATCTTGAAAGCGAACTGGATATCTCCTACGACCTTTTTCATCCGTACATGGAGAATGTCAATTCAGTCGATTTGAGAATCACCAAAAAAATTGCTTTTCCTGGGGACTTTTTCCAGAAAATGCCAAATTTGGAAAATTTCTCCATAACTGGATGTTTCCTAAAAGAAAAACAACCTCTTCCTGGCAACAGTGCAACCCTAAAGGAACTAAGATATATAAATATCAGCCATGTCAATGTCAAAGAACTACCTTCTGATATTTTTCGAGCGGAGAAACTGAAGGAGGTTCATTTCCAGGGAATTCCTTTAGTGAAAGTGAAAAACATCATGCAGAGATTCTCAAAACCCTATGTTCTAACAAAGTTAACTCTGAATGACATCAAACTGGAAGAATTACCAAGCGATATCAAGAATCTGGTTTTGTTAGAAGAATTAAGTCTTGATCATAACCCTTTAACGAGGCTTCCAATCTCTTTAAAGGAGCTGAAGAAACTCAGGGTGCTTTCTATACAGGGTACTTGTCTATTCAATCACATAGATAATTTGCTTTTACAAACTTTCTGATCAACCGACTTCAAAAGGGTTCCATATTCTTTTTTTTTTGGTTCAATGTTACCATTTATCTCTCATATCATAGAAATCTGTTGATAATTAACCCTGAACCTTTTTTTTTCATTTTTGCAGCCTATTTTGTACAAAAATTTAAATATTGACCTTTTGTTTATTCAATGTTATTGTTTTGAGCTTCATTTTTCACAAATTGAAAATAAGGGATCTAAACGTTTGTAGAAGAAATATAAATTCCCAAGGACGTGATCTATTATGTCGAATGTAACCAATTTAAGCACTAAAACAAAAACAGTTAAGGTCAAGATCTAGTGAATGAAAGGTACCTACAGATTTTTCAAATTTGAAAAACGAGTTCTTTTAATGATCCTTTACAAATATAGCTTGGTAAAATAAGGTGTATCGGGACATAATTTTTAGGTAAATTCAATGAAAACGTATTTTAAACTCATTTTCAATGAAAAATGAAGAAAGTCATGTATAAATTTCGAAGTTTTTTCCATCACAGGAAAAGGAAATGTAGCAATATTGCCAACAGTGTCACAGAAAACTTTTTTTCGTATCTTCTTGACCTCTTCTTTAAAATGATATTAAATTGAATATATGTATCGGGGTAACTTTCGATATGATATCAAATTGAATTCCATGAAAATGCTTCTTTTTCTACATAATTCTATTAGAGCTGTAAAGTACGGGAAAAATTAAATCAATTATGTCGTCATAATGGATCTAGCAACAACAAGACAGTCTAAATTCATTTACTAGATCTTGACCTTAAATGTATCTGTAATTAAATTTAGACAAAGTGGAAATTGTGCTTTCTTGTTAATGATAGTGTAATATTTTCAAAGGATTTCCACTGATGAACTTTGACGGAGAAGTAGAAAGTTTGACCAGACAACAGTACAAAGACTGGCATAAAGATAATCCAGCAATCACAAACTTTTTGTCCTCGAAGGTAAGGTGGAATCTTTTGAATAATAAATCTAATAATAAAATTTAAATTTGAATTCATAAGATATTTATCCTGACTATTGTTAACACGATTATAAATATGAAAATTCAAATGTATTGATTTTTTTTCCTGAAAAAGAAAGTAGAGGCTTTATTTGACGAAGTGGACAGAAGGCGAAGAGGTACTTTGGACGTCTCAGAGATTGCGCAGCTTAACCTCAAACTCTTCTTCCTACTCCCAAGATTTGGAACTGATGGTATGGTAGACAAGTATTGTTTTGAATTTTGACAGAGCAAAACAATTTCTTTATTTAAGTAACATCCACTGACAAAGCTCACAAAGACACAATCTACACTCGAACTTTCACAGAATGATTTTTTTAAATGTTAGAACAAATTGCTAGAAATAAGTACTTGTTTGCAATTCTGTCTATATGTAGGATTCAATGAGAAATTTGGAGGATGGCCTGACGTCATATTCAAATTAACCCAACTGAAGGAACTCTATTTTGGATATCAGGGAATCACCCTTATTCCATCAGATCTAAAGGCCTTAACCCAATTGGAGGTTATGGATCTCCAGCATTGCCCTCTTTTGGAGACATTGTCAGCAAAGTTAGGATTTATGACAAATCTAAGAAGTATGTAACACAGGTGTATAGAGAAACGATGTGACTTTGCAACAGTAATACGTTTTACATGATTGTAATGTTAGTGTTTATGATTATTGGAGGATCTTTAGAATTCACATTAAACCTAATGTATATATTTTATGTCTTTTAAATGTACCCCCCCCCCAAAAAAAAAAATAAACTTCAAATAAGTATTTTGAAGCTCTGAAAGACTCCTCCTGCGTATTTTAAATTGTAGGGTGGGCAAAGTTTTATGTCTATAACCACCAGATTCTCATCACTACATAATATTACAGTATTATGAAGTAAATGAACAATAATTTTTGAAAAGAATTAAATGAAAATTTGAATGCCGTTTTGATTCCCATTCACAGATATCAATTTGAAACATTGCCCCTCCCTAAGAACGCCGCCGCACGAGGTTGTTAGTCGTGGCTTTGAATCAGTGAAGGCCTACCTGAAGAGACTAGACGGTGGTTTTACTACCTGCAGGAGAACAAAACTTATGTTTGTTGGGGTGGGAGATGCTGGTAAAACCAGGTAAGACAGCAAAGGATAAATTTAAATCTGTATTGTTTCATGTATTCCATGCATATGAAAGATTCCATTTTAAAGGTATTATCGACAGTTGTTCAGCTTATGAAAAACATTTTCGACGTACCTGATAAATGCATTAGTTCACACTAAGTTATATCATTCCTCTAGACCGTTCACGGTAGCTCAGTCGGTAGAGCACTCGCTCCGTGATCGGGAGGTCGTGAGTTCGAATCTCGGCCGCGACAGACCCAAGTCGATAAAATGGGTAGCAACTGTTCCTTCGCCATGCGCTCGGCAATTTGAAGTGAAAGTTGCGGGTCTTTCGGATGAGACCTTAAAAACCGAGGCCCCGTGTCACGGCAGGCGCTGGCACGATAAAGATCCCTCACTGCTCAATGGCCCTGAGTGCCGAGTAAAGGTCAAAATTTGAAGCCCTTCACCGGTATATGGTGACGTCTCTATATGAGTGAAAAATTCTCGAATGGGACGTAAAACAACATACAATCAATCAATCATTCCTCTATATTAGTCATTGCATGTGTAACATAAAACTGATTCTTCACAACTTCACAATCAGCCCTTTGTTCATTTATATGAAAATATGTTTATTCGCTAGTGATTTTTCAAAAGAAATATTTAATTAAAATACATACAATTTCAGCATTCATCCCTGGGCAGATTTATAAGAAACAGAGTTTAAACATTCACAATTTCTTTAAAGAAATGAAATATATTTCTCCCAATTATCAGAGGGTCGTTGGACCTTAAAGGATTTATCAGCGTCAAAAATTACATAAGACATCAAAAACAAGCTAGTTGCAAGCACGATTGAAAAATATATTAAAAAAATGACCAGGAATCAATATCTATTTATAAAAATTTGTCCCAAAGCGACATTCGTCGGGATAAAATGTTTCTGTTTTTCTAGTTTACTTAAAGCGTTGACCAGTACCTCCAAGAAAACAAGTGGTACCCAAAATGCCATGTTGACAGATGGTATAGATATCAAGTCATGGAAAGTAAAGGTACCGGAGAAAGGAGAGATAGTCTACTCAGCCTGGGATTTCGCTGGACAGTCTGTTTACTATAATACTCATCAGGTTATCGATTTTTACCTTAAATTTGAAATATTAAAATTCAGTAGGAAGTAGAACTCATAACCTGAATGAGGATTTTTTTTGGTTTGACAGTTACTCAATTCTTGCATGTATTGACACCTGTGAAACTTTCAATGTAGAAATTCAGATACAAAATTAATCTTCCATATTTTATACACTAAGTTTTTTAAGTAATCTGTTTCACTCAAATGAGAATGTTACTTAGGCCAGAAAAACATAGAGCTGATCTAATTGTCCAAACATTGCTAGATTTCTGCTCGTGTATCCGTGAACATATGAAGTTTATGCTCGATCTTGTGATGTTTAAACACTCAGGAATTCATATGAAAAATTTGATTTTATCATTATTAAGAATGTCCAAGCACTGGGTTAATATTATAACTTATTGAAGTACATATTTTTGTTAGTTTTTCCTTACCTCTCGAGCCGTGTATCTCCTGCTTTGGAACATGAGAATGGGATTTCAACATGCTGGTCTGGATTTCTGGTTAAGCTCAATAGCATGTCATGCTCCAGATGCCCCAGTTCTTATCATAGGAACACAGGCAGACCAGGTGATATTGAAACAAACAAACAAATTACTTAATCTTACTATTCTTTGATCGACTTATATAAAAAAGATCATTCATTAAATAAGTACTTGTATTTATTATAAAGTGACAAGTGCGATTTATAGATTACTATATGAAATGAAAACATTTTTAATAGCATCTCAAATTTAATGTGCTTCTATTTTGTGTATTTTTAGAATCTCTATTGAGCTTTATATATTACATTAGATGAATGAAAAGGTTTAGAGTCTTAATTCATTATTATTTATAATGAATAGATTCCGAAACCGGAAATTGAAGAGAAGGTCATTAAGAATTCATACCCTCAAATCCAGGGATTTCACTATGTCAGCTCAATCCAAGGAACGGTAAGAAGGAAAATTGAACAAGATCCAGGGCATTTCAAATTTATAAATTTATAAAGAAATATTAAACATTTAGTCTTTTAAGAGGCAATTGTCTCTCTTGTCAGATTATCAATGCAACTTTATAACTTTAAATACAGTATGCTTTCTATTTTCTTTTCTTGCAGGGCATAAAAGAACTAGAGGAACAATTGATAGAAATAACTTTGCAGCAACCTTATTTAGAGGAAAAGATCCCTCAAGTCTGGCTTAATTTAGAAGAAAAAATGTTAAAGTAAGTTGTTCTATGGAAAAATAAATACTGTTCAAATAAAATTTATTTACATATAGAGTGTACTTTTTAAAATCATTTCAATCTTGATCTTAAATTATTTTGTTGTATATTTTGGCCTTGTAGGTTAATAAGTGTAAAGCTCAAGAAATAACACTTCTTCCTTAAAGTTTTGTAATGAATTGAAACTTCAATTTTCTTTCCGAAAAATTTTATAGTTTAAAATGATATGTTTAGGAAGTGTAAAAAAAATTCATTTGTATGCAATTAAAGATGCAACTGTTCAAATGAGGTAGCTTGAAATAGATTTGAAATGGTATCCAGTAGAGTAAAATGGGAATTATTGAAATGTTTTCATCCTGATAAAAAATGATGGATATTTTTGAATTTTTCTATGTTTATTTGGTTTGCCTGAGATTTATTTTTTTTAATTTGAAGTGCATGTGTTTTTATTAACATAATAAAATTGAAAATATATTTTATAGAAACAAGCAGTTTTATTCAGAATGTTCATATTTTTTACAGAATGCGGAAAGATAGCAGTATTCTTAGCTGGAGTCAAGTAGAACAGATAGCAAGAGATGAAGGGATTTACCATGAACAAGATGTAAGTGTAACTTTATTCAAACCTGCAAATGACGGGTAGAGATCTGTCAAGTTACATGTAAATGAAGAAAATCTTTACTGTAAACAGAACCAAAATAAACTTTTTGATGGAAAACGTCTTAAAATGACTATTATGTTTTAAACTTCTTACTAATCTTAAGCCTTAAATGACGAAGAGATCATTGATGTAAACTTGCAGTCCGTAAAATAATCATTTTTTATTATTATTTTACTTTTTATTTCGCACGTCTTCAGCTAAAGGAAGCCATTTCCTTCCTTGATAACCTTGGAACTGTTCAGTATTTTGATACAGACTTCTTGAGAGACAAGGTGGTTGTTGACCCACAGTGGATTGTCAAAGTAATGGCCTGTGTGGTATCTGTCAGAGCATCTGCCATACAGGTAAATATGAAAGATATAAGGGGAGAAAATGCTTTTCTACATTTCTTTCCTCTTTATCATGATTGATGTTGCCTAATTAAGGCAGGGAAAACTGGTCAATTTAAATTTGGGTGTAGAAATATGATAACTCATTTAGAGATTTTGTTTGAATAAGTAGTGAAAACGTTTTAGTTTGTGCTGTTTATTGTATGATTCACTTAAGAGTAAATGTTATTTAGGATTTAAGATGAAAGATCAAGAAAGTTTTATGACACTTGTGATGCAATAACTTGGATCATTCGTTTTGAGCACAACATCCTTAAATTTACTAGAAAGATGCTGATTTTTAAGGAAAAATACTGAATATACACATACATGTAATGAAAAAAACAGTACCAAGTAAAAAGAATACTTTAAATGTACTTATTTACAAATAAACAGAAATGCACATATGCATTCTGAAGCCCATGGATCAAAGGTTTCAACATAACAAAATTATTGAAGTTATCTTACTAAGGGACCTTGTATCAAGTTATCAATTTTGTTCGTTTTAACACGCTTTCAGAAAAATGATGGCCGATTCGAGCATTCTCAATTGGATGCTGTATGGGAGAAATATGACGCTGACCTTCGACCCTGGTTGCTCAGCCTCACAGAAGAATTTGACCTGACCTTTCCCCTTCCAGGCCAACCTCTAAATATAGTACCATGTCTTCTTCCAATGGAGCCACCAGAAGAGGTAAGTTTTTGATAAAATTCAATTGTTAATTAAGAGCATGAAAGTACTTGAAATGTAAATTGATATGACGTTTGCATGCTTAAAAAAACTACTTCCCAATCAAAAAACTAGTTTCTATTGTACAATGTCACCCCTACCCATAATCAAGTACCACCGCAATTTAAAAAAAAATATACCAAGTATCTTAATTTTGGTCAAGTATTTTGAATTATCTTTTTTTTCCTTTAAAAAATTGATTAAAAAAATTAATTAAAAAAAATCTACTGATATATCTTATATATTGTAGTTGCATTGATGCTACATGTATATATTTCCAGTGAATAAAAAGTCTATATATTTTTCGCGTCAAATTGTTCATCTTAGATGTGTCTTTGCAGTTTCGATGGCCTGATCTTGACCCGCTTTCATCTGATGGCATCAGTGAAAACAAAATCGTCTACAAATTTGTCTACCTTCCTGGAGGCCTCTTCAACAGACTTCAGGTGATTAAATTAATCAGATTATCTAATTATTTAAAACCCACCTATTAGATATTGTATAATTTCACATATGTGAGTGCTGTTTGAGAGTTAATTTCACTTTAAATCATTACAATTTATCTTAATCAAGGTTTAATGTTACATAGTTAGTTTACATAATGAAAGAATGAATTCTAAATATACCAGTTAAACATGAATGTATGATATCGAAATTGAAAAAGAATCATCATTTTAATGAATTTTTACTTACAAAAAAGGTTAACATTTTCTATATAAAACAAATCAATCGGACAAATTTATATGTTAAATTATGCGGGTTTTTTTCATTGCAATCGAATCTGTTAAAAAAAGTATTATGGAAAAAAAAAGCAATATTTGTTTAGCAGGAAATTATTAATTTTCAATTTTTCACAGGTTAGATTGTTTAATTTTTCTGATGGAAAAATGATCTGGAAAAAGGGCTCCTACTTACAAAAGAATCAACACTTAGCTCTGATCCAACAGAACAGGTATGAAAAACCACTGAATATCTATAATTTGATAACCATAAAACATAGAAAAAACAGAAAATATGGTTATTGAAAAAAAAAATTGCATAATCATATGCAAAGGAAGAAAAATTGGAAAAGATTGCGCCGTATTTTTCATGACGTTTTGTGGATAAGCTCTTGTCAATCAAATGACATATGAGTGAGCCTGTGTATGAGAAAAAAAAATTCAAAAGAGTGTTGCATGTCAAAACTTTTTGTCCTTTTCTTCCATCAATTTTAAAAATGATTTTATCTGTAGTGACCGTCAGCTGACTGTTACTGTACAGGGCCCACGTCCAGAGAACGTTTTGTTCCTGATTCACGAAGTTTTGGAGAGCCTTATCACAGAATCATATCATGGAGTGACCTATGATTATTATCTTCCTTGTCCAGACTGTATTGCTAAAGGGGTAATTTCTTACAAGTTTTAAGGTTCATAAACCCTCTGCTCACTCATATAAAATGTTTCCTTAACTCTCATGACTTTCCAAAAGATATGTATTTGTTAAGTTAAACACAAACAATTATAGCATAGCTTGCGGGGCAAAATTGGACAAAAAGACACTTCAACTTGACGAATTTATAAAATTTATAAAGGAATAATAGACATTTATATCATTAATAGTTATCTCTCTTATCAGAGTATTGATGAACCTTAAATAATATATGCAAGATACATCGTAAAATTATTAATACATTTTGAATTCCGAGGTTATTAATGACAATAAGAATTTATGCTTGTTTGTAGTAAGAAACTTACGTTTTTGAGGTTATTAATAAGGTGTATGTGTTTACAGTCTGATAGCTTTAGGAACCCTTACCTCTTCAAAGCATCCATCATCAAGAAAGGAAAGAATATGAATGCTCCTTTTCTTCAATGCACTGAGAATTTCCATACTGTTGCTATGACACAGTTATTGGGTATGTTGTGAATAGTGAGATTTGTAGATCATTTCAAAACAAAGAGTGATAGATTGTCCTCTTAAGACAGTTAACAATGTCCTTTATTTTTTTTTTTTTAAGAAGCAAAAATTGCATGTAGAATTGTTTGAATTTTACGGTTTCAGCAAGCTCCAACTGTCTAGCCTTTTGTCATAACAACGGGGGAGATGAAAGCATAAATAATAAATGTCCACTAAATAAACTAAATATTTTGTTGTTTGAAATATTTTGAAGATCACGAAGTAAGGCACATTTGTTCTCATAAATCATTTAATTTCTTCAGCTATCATGCCGGATGATCGGAATTCAGACTTCGACATACATCTTCAGAACAGTATCAGCGCCTTACAGTCAATCAATAATGACATTGAATATGATGTAGCTGTTCTATACTGTCAAGCAGATATACCTCCCAAAGGCAAGAAAGACCTCATCAATCCGAAAGAAGTAAAGAATGATTTGCTTGCTTGGAATTACAGTGTGTAAGTACATATATGTGCATATGATATAGGTAAAGTAAAGTGAGCTATCATTTTGAGCAATTTTATTTGGTTATATAATATAGTTTAGTTATATTCATTCTTCTCATGAAGTATCTTTCTCAAAAGAAAATATTAGTAAAATGTATTACCTTTATTTACAATTAATAGAATCTTTTACAAAAGTAATTTTGCATATTTTATTATAATATGTTTTCTAATTTTTAGTTGGATGCCTGAAAGTGTAACCCCAGATAGAGTCAGCGAGATGACACTTCAGCTAAAGAACTCAAAGGTATTGTAGAAGAAGTTGTTTTTGGCAAACTAGGCAATTGTGTGCTTTATTCATTTACTATGATCTTATATTTCTTTTCTTATTTCAAACTTTACATGAAACACAACAATAAGATGTTTCAAGCAATCAAAAGTTGTGAAGGCAATATGTTTACTGTTATATGTTTGAAAGAATTTCTAATAAAAGTATGTTGTATGCTACATGTTAGATAACTATTTGATCAATTAATTTATTTTGTGATGTTTTAATGCACTTGTATATGTTTTAATATATATGATAGTTGAGACAGATGTGCTGTATCTGCTATGTTGTCTTTATTTCACTCGTAGTTGATATGTAGAATTAAAGGTAGTAGTATATTGTATGTATTGTTGCAATTTATATGATGAATTTCAGGTTGTTGTCTGCTGTATGTCTGACCAATTTGAGAAGGATGAAACTTGCCATAATATGTTCTTGTACATCACTAATCAACTCAGAAAGAAGATCCTTATTGTAGTTGTAAGACCCAGCATGGCTTGGCAGGAAACAGATCTTGGAATGAAAATTGGTGATGCTGTAAGCCTCTTAATTCAATTTAAGTGTCAAGATTTAAAATTATTATATACTAGCTCAAAATTACTATAATTCTTAGTTGCATTTCCCCCCAACTTTTAAGGATAAAAAATCGAAAATCCATAATGAAACAAAATTGTTTACCTAACCAGAAACGAATATTGTAATGTATTTTAATTATCACACTGAAGATTTTGCGCAATATGCTTCATTTACTGTTTAGTGTAAACATAAAATTCAGAGCATATTAAGTCAAGATATTAGTAGTTGTATTAGTTTGTACAAGGAATAGCGGATAACCATAAAGGCGCGAAGGGCACTATAATGAAAAATGAAAACAGAAACCTTTACAGCATTGATATTTTTTGGATGAATTGCGGTTAACTTTTTAATCAATGATTACTATGAACTTTCTTATGAACAAAAGTTACCCATATCTAGTAATTGCCTTTGAACGCATTTTGTAGAAAAAATACATTTTTAGCTCACCTGAGCCAAAGGCTCAAGTGAGCTTTTCTGATCAAAATTTGTCCGTTGTCTGTCGTCGTTGTTGTCGTTGGCGTTATCGTTGGCGTTATTGTTGTTGTAAACTTTTCACATTTTCATCTTCTTCTCAAGAACCACTGGGCCAAATTCAACCAAACTTACCACAAAGCATCCTTGGGTAAAGGGGATTCAAGGTTGTTCAGATGAAGGGCCACGCCCTCTTTCAAGGGGAGATAATTAGGAATTAGGGAAAAAATAATGGCATCATTTAAAAATCTTCTTCTCAAGAACCAGTGGGCCAGGAAAGATGAAACTTATGTGGAAACATCCTCAGGTAGTGTAGATTCAAGTTTGTTCAAATCATGACCCCCGGGGGTAGGGTGGGGCCACAATGGGGGATCCAAGTTTTACATAGGAATATACAGGAAAATATCTTTAAAAATCTTCTGCTTTAGAACAGCAAAGCCATGATTGGTCATATTTATATGGAAGCATCCTCAGGTAGTGAAGATTCAAGTTTGTTCAAATCATGACCCCCGGGGGTAGGGTGGGGCCACAATGGGGGATCAAAGTTTTACATAGAAATATATAGGAAAATATCTCTAAAAATCTTCTTCTTAAAAACAGTAAAGCCATGATTCGTCAAATTTATATGGAAGCATCCTCAGGTAGTGAAGATTCAAATTTGTTCAAATAATAAACCCCGGGGGTAGGGTGGGGCCACAATTGGGGATCAAAGTTTTACATAGATATATATAGGAAAATATCTTTAAAAATCTTCTTCTTAAGAACAGCAAAGGCATGATTGGTCATATTTATATGGAAGCATTCTCAGGTAGTGAAGATTCAAGTTTGTTCAAATCATGACCCCCGGGGGTAGGGTGGGGCCACAATGGGGGATCCAAGTTTTACATAGAAATATATAGGAAAATATCTTTAAAAATTTTTTGCTTTAGAACAGCAAAGCCATGATTGGTCATATTTATATGGAAGCATCCTCAGGTAGTGTAGATTCAAGTTTGTTCAAATCATGACCCCCGGGGGTAGGGTGGGGCCACAATGGGGGATCCAAGTTTTACATAGAAATATATAGGAAAATATCTTTAAAAATCTTCTGCTTTAGAACAGCAAAGCCATGATTGGTCATATTTATATGGAAGCATCCTCAGGTAGTGAAGATTCAAATTTGTTCAAATCATGACCCCCGGGGGTAGGGTGGGGCCACAATGGGGGATCAAAGTTTTACATAGAAATATATAGGAAAATATCTATAAAAATCTTCTTCTTAAAAACAGTAAAGCCATGATTCGTCAAATTTATATGGAAGCATCCTCAGGTAGTGAAGATTCAAATTTGTTCAAATAATAACCCCCGGGGTAGGGTGGGGCCACAATTAGGGATCAAAGTTTTACATAGAAATATATAGGAAAATATCGTTAAAAATCTTCTTCTTAAGAACAGTAAAGTCATGATTGGTCATATTTATATGGAAGCATCCTTAGATAGTGAAGATTCAAGTTTGTTCAAATCATTACCCCGGGGATAGGTTGGGGCCACAATGGGTGATCAAAGTTTACAGAGGAATATATAGGAAAAAGTCTTTTTCTCAAGAACAGAAAAGCCATGATTAGTCAAATTAATATGGAGGCATCTTTGGGTAGTGTAGAATGAAATTTGTTCAAATGAGGGCCCCCGGGGGTAGGGTGGGGCTACAATGGGGGATCAAATTTTTACAAATGAATATATGGGAAAAAAATCTGCTGCTCAAGAACAACAAAGCCATTTGTTATATTGATATGAAAGCATCATCAGGTAGTTTAAAATTCAACACCCCCCTCCCTGTAAACCTTTCAATACTGTACTGATTTTTGCTTTTTTTCCTAGCCAATGTGCTCAGGTAAGCGATGTGGCCCATGGGCTTCTTGTTTTTTCACAGTTTGTTTGTATGATACGAAGTCCAGATAGATATAAAGCTAAGATCGTAGATCTCAGAGATATGGTGGAAAAGACGTTGATTGCCATGGAAAAGGTTCACTTTATCATCGTATTTAAAGAAATCTTTGTTAAATATAGGAAAAGTCTAAAGATATAATATTATAAATTGAAATGACTAAATGTAAGTTTAGGTCAAGCTAGTTATATAGGAATTTTTTTTTCAAAATATTAAGCACGCTTTGGAAAAAAAATATCATACAGTTTAATTCATTATTGATATGTTTTGCTGAATAGTCTGGAAAGGTGAAATAATGTTGCATAAATGCAAGAAACAATGTGGTAAACAATGGTCAAACCTTAAAGAAAATTGTTAAATGTTTTGAACTTTTTTAATTGTAGGACAAACAGAGACCGGCTGATGTATTTATAAGCTATTGTTGGCAGAACTCCAAGAAAGCTGTCGAAAAGGGAACCAAAATTAAAGATAAAAGCTCCATAGGAGCAGTGGATCCGAGAGATATTAAAGATTTTCTGACAGATAAGAAAGTGTCTTGTTGGATTGATGTTGAAAAAATTGGCACAGTAAGACTTTGTTTAATTAGTAAACACATATAAACTGCAAAGACATTGTTCTCATATATATCCTGTAAAAACTAAGTTAAAGTGCAGGTTTTATAAAGAAAAATATGCATTTTGAAAACACTTGAAAAAAAAATTCAAGAGCTATCTTTGATATAATGCATACTTCATTTCGCAGTATGGTTTGTACCTGGACATTGCAATGGGACTTCAAAGCTGTAAGCTCCTGGTTTGTTGTGTGTCAGATGAGGTAACCCTTCTTTTCTTTCTAAGAAGTTGATGTTTTTGTCAAAATCATTCAAGTTTACTCGTATTTCATGACCATGGTTGCCTGATATTAAACTTTTTTGGATCAAGGACTCTTTTCGAATTTCTTCACTTGCTAACAAACTATATAGCCTTGTCTAATTTTTTAATGACTCTTTTAAAATTTTCAAATGTTATATTTTTCGTTAAAATACTAAATATTGTTCTACAAAGTTATGTTAATATAAGGATATGTACTTGGTTGGACTTGTTTTTGATATAAGTGAGATCAATTTCCTTTATTTGCTTCAGTACTCTGATTCTGAGAATTGTATGATGGAGCTGAAGTATGCTGTGTTGAATCTTAAACTACCTGTCATCGTGGTTCCTGTCGGCACCGGAAGTCGCTGGAAATCCAAGGTATGAAAATCTCTAAGTTCTTAATTGGTAAAATAGGATGCTTTGTTACATGTACCATTACCTATATACATGTATTTATTTTGATAAATAAAACACGTAATTCCATGCGTGTTTTTTAAACATCAAAATGAGACTTTTCTCAATAAAGAGATATCTTATATATTTTAGTAAAGCAGTGGAAATAGAATATATAGACGTAAGTTTTGCAGTTTGGTCTGGGTGGGTGGTTCAGGTATGAAACATATCTATCTTGTAAAGACGTAAGTTTTGCAGTTTGGTCTGGGTGGGTGTTTTAGGTTGGAATCTTTGTGGTAAAAGCAGAGGAAGAAGCACCCGAGATCTCCATGCAATTAGAGGATAATAAAGAAAAACTTCTGACCAAAGTAAAAGAGATTCTCGCAACCAAATGCAAAACAGAGGACGAAGCTAAGGAAAAACAACAACAAGAGAAAGAAAGACAGAAAAACTTGGAGAAAAAAGCTCAGGACCTTAAATTTTCCTATCAGGTATTTATAATATGGAGAGAGAGAGAGAGAGAGAGAGTGAGAGAGAGAGAGAGAGAGAGAGCAATGCAAATGGAATAGAATTTTCAATTTGAATTTTAATCTATAACAGATCTACTTATAAGATAGTTTTTAATTTCAAATATGTAATTTACAGAGTTAGTAGCTTTTTTAGTCAAATGATAATCATTTTCGTATGGAAAAAAGATTATTGATTTTGATAACTCATACACTGTCCTAAAAAAATTAAAAAAGGAAGACATGGAATTCCGTTAACATCGATAGCTAGAAAGCTTTAGGAGTGTGAAAAAGAAAGAGATCCGATCTATAACACACAGTATAAAGTAAAACACAAACAAAACATTTGGTTAAAAAGAATATGATATATATTTGTAGAATCAGAAAAATTCTGAATTTTAATTTTAGGAAGAATACGAACTACTGCAGAGAAAATTTCTCAGACATGTTACTATGATAACGACCAAGTTAAACTTTGAGGTCCTGCCCAGGTTACTGGTGTTTGATTTTGTCAAGGCTGGTAAGATTTAAAAACAGCTTTTTTTTTTAGAGTATTGCTACATGTAATAAGATGAAACAAAAGAAAAAAAACCCCAAAATTTAATCCTGTTTCCCATGTTCTATTGCACTGAAAGAATTTTTATAGATCATTTACAGCATTTGTGTTAGTTTTATTCTCTACATCTTCTCGAGTAAAAGCGTCCAGTATAATGTTTACAATAAACATAACTTTTTAATGTTAAAAACAAATTCATGAACGTGTAGTCATTTGGTGCCATACATAAAGTATATAAATTACTCAATTTAAAATGACATGTACTGAAAATTTTTTTTGTATACTCGGACGCCAAAATTATGAAAAAAATTAATTTTAAAAGGTGTTAACAATGAAGCAGATTTGAGAGCAATTTGTTCAGGAAACCTGTCTTTTCTGCAATTTTCCTGCCTTTAGCATGCATTCAAAATTGGTTCTTACAAAGTACGTTATCACGTGTGCACATTTATCTGTAGGCATAAGAAAAAGTATTACAAAATATTCTATTACAAAACAGTCATATTGACAAGAACAGTTTATCATAAATTCAGTATTTTACACATTCTTTTCATGTATCGTGCATTGAACTTTATGGTTTCCTCTTTTCATAAAAATGTTCATTTATGTAAACATTTCCGTAATTATTTTTTTTTAGGATCACCAGGGAAAAATACAGAAAAAGGAACGCCTAGGAGGCCAAGGACTGGAAAAGAACGCAGGAAGGTTAGGTCTTTTTTATCCTAATTTAGATATGGATTTAATAGCTATGTAGTTGTACTATATAACATTGGCTGAGGTGGTTTACGCTAAAAAAAATCGGTGAAGTGGTTTATCAAGAAGCATGTACTGCAATACCTTCAAATTATGGAAGTTTAATATGCGTTAGTTAGATAATCTATTCCGTATAACTAAAACTTAAAATGAAATTATCAATTTTAAAAAAATAAATCCTTATAAAAAGACTTAAAAATATACAAAAAGAAAAAAAAATAAGTGCAACTTCAAAAGAAAGTTGATATGGTTTTGCCTTGAGTCATATTATGATAAGTGCAACGCAAGTTCTATTTTATAATCTCAAAATTAATCTTAAGCAGACAGAAGTATGCGATTCCAACAAACTTAAAACAAAGAACTTTAGTTCTAGTGTATAAATCACAATTTAAAATACGATAAGTAAAAGCGTATGGAAGCTATGTTTCCTTTGATGAATACAGATCTATCATTTTTAATAGGATTCGTGACATTTTAATCATCATGGTCTTATTTAGGATAAATAACACAATTTTTTTTCGGAAATCATCAATATTTCTCATAGATTTATATTAAGATGGGTAGCCTGAATAATGTTTGCCAGGTAAAGTGGGAGAATTTTGAAAGATTTCGTCACAATGTTAAAAATGGGTGCAAAATTTTGTATAGAATTACATACAAAACGACACAAAACCGCATATTCAAGTACCAATTGCATAGAAAATTTACGATTTCTTATTATTTTAGGGATTTATTTTTTTTTATGTCTTTTCCATTCCAAATCATTCAAAAAATATATATAAATCAATGTATCAAATTTGTGTTTGTGTTATGTGTCCTGAAGCCATGTACCCTATGCATTACAACTTTGTACATATTTTTTTCAGGTACTTCCATTTGGTGATATAGTATTGCATCAAGTATTCAATGATATTAAATAAATTTCCTTAGACATATGAAAAAAAAAAAATCATAAATCAAGGTTCCATACGGAGTTCAGTTTTAATCTAAAGGCTTAATATTTTCACAGATTTACGTATTTCATTTTGCATTCTTTACATGCTTGTCAATTGTGATTTTCTTTAGGCCGTTATTTTGGATGATGAAGATGAAGACTGGCAGGCAGAGGAATTCTGTATCAAGGTCATGTGTGAACATGAAGAGGTAAGTTGAGAAAGAGATAAATTGATATTTTTTATAATAAATTGGTAAAATAACCGATTGAAAATATAATTTATTTTATGATGTAAATTTATACAACTGATGGAGAAATTTTTTTTCGTCTTTTTTCAACAAATGTGTGATGTTAAGGAATATGCATATGAAGACTATCTTACATGAGACTTCAATAATTAGAAAAAAATGATAGATTTGTAAAAAAAAAAAAAAATCATTCTTTTTTACAAAATAAAATATAAAGAAAACCTTTACCTTCCATTTCTTTTCAGGGTTGGCATGTATCGGAGAAATCCCTAAATCTGAGTGCGAGGTCTTCTGAGGAGGTGTATCACGTGCTTAGAGAGGCGGCCCCCTACCTCTCCAGACTGTATGCTGTCCTGAAACAGAGCTCAGTCAATCTAAACTGTCTGAGAGGCAAAACGGGAGACTCTTATTGCAGTTACATTGACAAGGTTTTTAAACATCTTTACTTGATAAACATTCAGCAGTGTCTATAAAATGTACCCTGTGATGTTATAAAACGTCGTGTACTCTTTTCTCTCTTTACCTATATGCATCTATTACTGTTAAAAAATCATATATTTTATTTTTTCATGGATCATTAGATTTAAATGAATATAATTTTGATAACATTTAAATTTAGGGAAATGATTATAACGAATTGAGACTGAATTTATTTTAAAGAAAGGCTTAGCTGAATCAAACTTTGGAAGGGCATATGAGGCTATTCATCATTTTGTTGCAGACCATGCAGGGAAGCGAGATCTTATGCAAAAACTTCATAGGTAGGCCCAGCCAGCAGAGGTTTAGAAATCCCATGTCATTATGTTTTTTCTTGCTTGACATTACCTGCATTTTTTGCATAGAAATCTGACTACATCTTTTATAAGGGGACCTTTGTCCAAAAAAAAAAAAAATAAAATAAAATAAATCACTGCTCAATGGGTGTCAGTCCGAAGTTAAGGTCTAAACTGAAGTTTTACCGGTCTCTTTTTCGATGAAAAATTCTTGCTATTATCGTAAAAACATACAAATCAATCGTCAATAAATTCTCTCCTAACCTAATTTGTAAAGTTTCAACATAGGGCTTTGCTTTCTTTTTAATATTCTAAAAAATATATGATATGATCAATAAAGGGTGTTTGTTCAGACGGAAATATATTAGAAAAAAATGTTCAAATCTGCGGAGAAGGTGTTGGAAATAAAATTTTGAATAACTTGGATTTCGTAGATTGTATTTTAAAGAATACAAGATATGTTGTAGTAAAAATAGTATGTAATTTTTGATTTACATGCTATTTTTCTTCCTTGTAGATGTCATTTGCCGAGTGGAAAAATATTATGGCTTTGTGATAATCATTCGAAGGGAAACCGCATCACAAAAATTTCTTTAGGTGGGGCCAGTTCAAGGTCAACCGGACTAGTCACCTTGACGCGAGAAGACGACTTTCTTAAAGAACACATGAGGAAACATCCGACAGTTCTAAAGCTTTTGAAACGTCCTGAACCCATTGAGGAGGAAAAAGAGGAAAAAGAAGAGGAGAAGGAAAAAGAGGAGGAGAATGATAAGGATGAACAGGAGACGGAGCAGGAAAATAAAGAAATGGATGAAAAAACAGTTGAAAATGCAGAGACAAGAGAGAGTAAAGAGGGAACACCTCCTGTAGGAGAAAGATCTTCTGAAGAAGTCAAAAACAGGGAAGGCACTGGGGAAATTCAAATCAAGAAAAACGCTGCAATCAAACAGGGTGGTCCAATTAACCGAGGAGGAAGCCCTTGTCCATCTAAAGGAGGCGTAAAACAAAATGAAACTCCTAAGAGTAACAGAAAAGTGCGAGAGAAAGGTGAAGGAAGCCCTTTGGCATCTAAAGGAGCTGTACAGCAAAATGACACTCCTAAGAGGACAGGAAAAGAGCAAGAAAAAGGTATAACGTGATTGATATAGATTAATTTTTGTTTATTTACAGGTATTCGAATATTCGTTGCATGAAAAGCATATCTTATTAATTTCTTTTCTAATTTATAGCTGAAGCAAAAAAGAATACTGATAGAATGCAAAGATCTACTACGAAACCCGAGAAGAAAGATGCTAGTAGCTCCGTTTGCGTTATATCATGATCATGACTAGTTTTACATGTTATATACAAATAATTAGACTGTGCCATTTTCTTAATTATATCATACCAAAAGATATAGAATATTCATGTGAATTGTTTAGGACTGATATATTTACATATTGTCTGTGACTGCTTGTTTATCAGAAGCGTCTAGAAAGGATGCCATTATAAATTTTTAGTATTCCTTTAAAAAGTAGAATGCTTTGATCTGTAATTTTTAAATATTTAACGCAATCTTTAAATGAGATTTGCGCTTTTTGTGCCTTTTATTAAACAGACTGCAATACTTTTGATATTATATCTTGTTTGTATAGATATTCCGTTTCAGTTTATTTTCTGTTTCCCTAGAAAAATGGAATGCTGCACAGTAAATCACGTTTATAAAGAAGTGCAAGGAAAGCACGATTTTGCTTTGCTGTAAACGTAGTTCAGTCTATCCTCTAAGTTCACTATGTAAAAGTCACGGGGAATTAAAATCACTCATCTGTAATCCTAAATTTATTATAAGCATGTTCGCTATAAGCTTGTTTTACTGTAATTAAGCATAATGATAAGCAGGGTAAATATTTATTGCAACAAATGCTTGAATTCTTTTTTTCATTCAATAAGTGTTATTAGTGAAAGAAAATATATTTGATGAACTTCATTTTTTGTGAAGAAGAAAAATGAAAAGAGGACTGTTGATTTTAGGTCTTTCATATGTACATGTATTTTTTAACCTCATTTTATTTGCTCAAAGAACGCTTCACAGTAGTTTGCAAAATACTCAGGAAGTTATGTCCAAAAATTTTACTATATACATTATTCAGAAAATATATAATATCATCTTATACAGATCTGTCTTGTTTTTGACAACTTTTTTGCCCTTATTTTATATACATTTTTTTCTCTGAATTGTATCAACTTTACATTTATTGATCATTTTTTTACTACATTCGTAAAAATTTGCTTCATGCACTTTAGATTATTAAACATAATGTATATTATTGTGTTTGTAATTGTTTATTCTTTATTAAGGATTATACATCAAAGGAATCATTTTTAATAAAGGAAGAGATCACATCTCCAATAATTAGTCAACATACGGAATGAATGACATAATGTATAATGTTAAAATGAAAATAATATCAAAGAAATAATTCACATTGAGAATTAATTTTTCATTTCTTTTATGTGTGGCTCAATAGGCATTTCACTTGCCTAGTTAACTTTCGGCACTCGTTTTCAGGATAAGTCCTAATTCTCTGACATATGTGTTTTATTTCATGTACTTGTGCTAGAGCGTCTAGTGTTCAGCTACATGTCATTAAAAAAATACTTTCCATAATGTGTTTTCATATCCATTCCGATGTGCGTATAGCTTAATGAGGGATTCAAGAGGAATAGATGTAAATTGAATATCCTCCAAGCCTTTACTTCTAAGCATCGAGCCACCTCTGACTTCAATTCACGTTGATATTTTATGCAACTTTTCTTATCTTTATAATGTTAATTAAATTATTTCCCTTATTTTTTTGCCATTGTCCTGGACGTTAAATCCGGTGTTTAATCAGGTTTTCAAACTTTTCAATATTTCAACTGAAAAAGAAGAAAGTTAGTGCACTGAATTTTCAACGTCATTTCTTTCTAAATCTGACAAAAAATAAGATCCACGCAAAATAAATTAATATAGAAATAACATTTGTACAAAGTTCTAATAATAGTGTCTAAAAGTAACGTCATAACGACGCCTGTAACATTTAAGCAGTGCGAAGATACACATATACACAATATACATGCAGCTGTATTTTTAGATATTTTAAAATTATTTCATATAACTGTATTAAATGTTAAGACAAAAGTCAAAATAGACAGGGGTATAAGTATGAGATTGTTTGATAACATTTGATACTGAAGATATTAAAGCACTAGTGACATTACTTTATGGTCAAACCTCGTTAACTCTTGTTGTTCATTTATACATTTGTCATGGAGTACGTTGTACAGTTAAATGATATAGCTTTTTATATGAGTTAAAGATCTACGTATTTACCATAAGGATTAGCAATCTGCTCAGTCTTTAAATCAATATTAAATACTATAGATTCCGAAATATACGCGAGAAATTCATTATGCGTAAATTCGCGGGAAACACCAATCACCAAAAAGAATTCCTCACTTATATTTTTATATTGCTAGAATAATTGTAACACCCCCCCCCCCTCCTATGAGCATTCAATTCGTGAATTCATGTTCTTAAGATTTAACTTCTACAAGACCTTTAGCGATACTAAGAACTCGTGAAAGATAAGGAATCCACAGAAATCTATGCTTCAAAATGTGAATGCTTTCACATTTTAATTGGACAAGAACGCGGACTCTCATGAAAAAAAATCATGAAAAAGAACTCATACGTATTACAAAATAAGTATTGATTCCAAAAGAAAAACACAGGGAGGTTACAGGAAGGTCACAAAATATATGAAATTCCGATTTTTTTTAAACGAAATTCCATCAGTCTAAAAGCATATTTTGTTTTAGAAAGCATGGATCACAAACCTGCCTTTCTATCAAAATTAGTTATTTCATGCAATAGTATCACATGCGAGTTGGGTATAAAAATCCGAAATTTATGGGCAATTTTGTGATCTTTTTAAGGAAGTAAAAAGTATCTAAAAATTGTAAAAATTCCACGAGAATTGAGAAAATTTGGTAAAATATCTTGCATTTTACTTTCCTACACTTTTGTCTTTTGTTGTCTTCTTGTACGGTTTAAATGAAAATTAGTACTGGTTTTCAAAACAAGCATTATATAAAGTTCTAAATGCAAATTATCACAATTTCAACTGTTTTGATTATTGTGTCAAATAAGGGTCCAAAAATACTTTTATCATACCTTATCCTTTGCAGAAGAAGTATAAAATGTTTTGTAAAACACAGTAAGCACCTCCAAAGACAGGTCACATCCGCAAATATTTGTTAGAATTATAACCAACTAATTAATAAAACACATATCAAACAAAATATGATTGAATGGTTTTGTGTGCAAGTTAGGTTTTTATATTGACCATAAAATTTGTGAAATGCCGACTTCAAACGAGATTATTGAAGACCTTGCAACACCTTAAGCGAATGTTTAAGTAAAGTGTTTTTCCACATTTTTTCTTAAATGTTTACTTTTTTAAAACAGTAAAATTATATTTTGGAACAAAGTTTGTTACAAACAACGTGTTTTGACACCATTATTGATAAAAACTCTATAAATTTCTCAAAACATTGTTCCACACATTGCAAGAAGTCCATCACTGTATAGAAGTTATCGTACTCAGAAAACGTTGGCGGTAGCCTAGTGGTGTGGCGATCAATTCGTGACCAGGAGATTTCGGGTTTCATTCTCGTTCCAAGACCAGCGTCAAACCTAAGAAGTAAACGCGAAACTTTGGAAAAAGCCCAGCACTCGAAGTGAAAGTCTAGGTCTTTTGGATGAGACATTGTAAACCGAGATCCGGTGTCAAGGTAGGTTTTGGTACGATAAAGAACCCTATCTGCTCAAATGCCCTGAGTGCCGAGTAAAAGAATAAATTTAGTGGCGTCTCTAAATGAGTGAACAATCCTCGAATAAGACTTTCATGTAAAGCAACATACAGTCAATCAATTAATCAATCGTACTCAAATCAAGCTCCTAGGTACCGAAGCACTTGGGGATCAAAAACAATATGTATACTCAGGATATTGGTAATTAACTGTACAAATGGGGCTAATTTACGATAGAAAAGCTGAAGGAATCATCTTTTTACCTTTATTATAGGTTTAGTTGTAAGTTTGTCTTTTATATCTATAGCAGGGATGGGGTCAATTACTTTAAAAAGTAATTAATTAAATTACAATTACTTTGACTTTTTCTTCAATTAAATTACAATTAAATTACAGGCTTTCTAAGACATGTAATTAATTATATTACAATTACTTTGCAAAAGTAATTAATTCATTTACAAAATACATTTTTAATTTTTTTGAAAATTTTAATAATCCTTTTCAATGAATATACAGAACATCATTTATTTGTATATAAGCTCAGCCTCTGCACAAAAAGTACAAGAAATAATATGCTATAGGCATTGTGTAGCATTGTGGTTTAATTTATAACATTTATTTACAAAACAATAAGAATTTCTTAATGAATTATCCGCGATCAGTTTGATGCAGTTTCCACCACACAAAACCTACATGTACACAAATTGCATGGCTTTTGATATTTGATTAAAAGTGAGTATTTTAATAGAGTAAAATGAGTCGCATCTGGAAACCCTCAAATTAAATATTTCCTTTGAAGGTAACCTGAACATCTTAAATTGCTATTTATGTTGAACAATTTTACTTCATAAATCAGAATTGTACAGATAGAAAATTCATTCATAAAAATCTGTTTAGATGTTAAAATAATTATCAAATTGAAAGTTTTTCTTTTCTAAAGCTAGCGGAGCATTTTAAACTGAAATAATTATCTCCATTGGCTTTGTCTTCTAAATCATGTAATGAATATCTCTTTAGAGGAGTTGATTTGTTTTGATTGCAATTTAAAGCTGTGATCTGGAGGGCAATTATCTCTTCCCAACAAGAGAGAACTCTAACTTATTTAATGACACACACCTTCTTTTTCTTTATTATTGATCAAACAACTAAGATTAAAATACATGTACATGTATAACAAATGTGTGTTTCATAGCTGAATAGACCTAAGAAGGGTGGTTCAAAATTCATATTTATAAACAATGATAAAAAAATTCAAAATTTACATAATGATTAGAAAGAAACTAGTTAATTATTATCAAGCCAATTATTTAATTATTTATTTGTAAGCATTAACCTAAGATTTTGTTTAATTGAAGGATTGAGGATATGTTTAACAATAAAATAAAAACCAGTAAAATGGGGAGGTAGTGGTGACGATATATCATGAATATATCATGAATGTGTATTATATAAAGTAATTGAATGTAATTGAAAAAGTAATTGAAAATACATGGTATTTTTTCAGTGTAATTAATTAAATTATAATTACAAGTAATTGAAAAAAAATTCAATTACAAATTACTTCCAATTACTTCAAAAGATGTACTAATTAATTACAGTCAATTACAACTACTTTTTTCAATTACCCCATCCCTGATCT